AGAATATCAGCGAAACACGTGTCTGAATTTTAAGTTAGTATCTATGTCGGGAGTACGGTATAATACCTTTACCACACATATATGTATATCCGAGCAAAAGCAATCCTTAGACTGATACACTCAACGTTTCCATCGCATGACATCATCGATCACACTAAAGGGTCTCAAATTTGGCAAAAACAGTGTACAAGTGTACAGTGCCCCAACACGTGCCCCAGGATTGGCCAAAATTGAAATTTAAGTGGTCACAGACGACATCATCATTAAACCACGTTGATAATAAACAGTTTCTTATGCGAAAAACTAACCTTCGCTTGAACCAGCAAGGATCAGAGCTGCGACGAAGAAGACGGCGATCATCTTTGCAATCGGTGTGGTTTGTTTAACCGACCTACAGTAACCCCTTTTATAGTCCTCGCAAACGGTCGCATCGTGGACAGTGACGTTAATTGTCCTCACAGGAAGTCCTTCACTGGATGACAGCAAACTACTTCCGCAGTACTTATGATGTGAAGTTCATTCTGAATTGGCGTTGTCAGAATAATTGCTTGCCAGAGGAGGATGCAGTAATTACGGATGTTTTTTCACAACATTTTCGGCCCAGAATTTGACACTCATTGTCATTTTACAGGGCTATCGTCCCGTCCTTTAAAACTAAGTGGCATCGGAGTATATCTGGAATTTGGCAGTGCTAAATAACGAACGATAAATCGTGCATTTGAAGAGTTTTATAAAGGCGAATTTAAGAACAGAAGACAGAAATGACTGGCATAACTATACAAAAACGGGAAAGAATTGAAGGATTTCATCGTGAATTTTGCTCTCAAGATTTACTTACCGAGCCACAAGAAAAATTTTCTCGAATGAGTGCGTTTAATGGCGGTTTGTCCTCATTGTGGTGGAAAATGCATCCGCATTTATGCCGGCTGACTGTGACACAGACTGAGAACTGAATAAAATTCTACATATACTAAGCAGAAATTTGAACATAAACCACGCCGTCTCTCATTTGCGTTTGAGGCCTCTGTTAGGATTTGACGAGGAGCAAATCGCAAATTTTTCTTTTGATTTCAGTACAAAATAATCAGTTTTATCGTATACCAGACTCTCCTAGAAAAGTTTACATTTTCGGATACTAAATTTGCAACAAGAAATATCCTGACCAGTAAGTTGGTACAAATACTGTATCGAAAATTTATTGACTAACTACATCGACCCCATTTTTATTTTTTAAGTCTGAATAAAACTTACCATTTCGTTGAGGATTTTTGGATGCAAAAAGGCAATGTTGAGTAGGTAGAGCGTAATCCCACGAAACATATATGTGTACACTAACAATCGCATTGTAAAATTAGTTGTTACTTCTTGTCGGCCCCAAATATACGATAGTTCTTTACGAGTTTCATATTGATTAATCAGTTTTCCTAATATTATTAGTCAGAAACGTTGCCTATTATCAAAAGTCTCGCCGTTTAGAAAAAATAATGATAGTTGGCCGTTTTAAAATGCGGCTCTGTTAATTTAACCTGCAGTTAGATGCATGAAGGGTCAAATATTCAAGGCAAAAAATGGCACTTGAACATACCCCAATGTGTTTCAAGGCCTGACTTGGAAGACTGCCGAATGTCGGGATGCTTTGGCCCTCAAAGTCAATCCAATGTGCTTGGGTTGTGTGCCGGACTGGTGGAAGAGCAGAAGGTTATACCGACTACTTCGTAATGTGGGCGCTATGGCATTCGTGCCTAGTAAGATACGAGTCGCCTCTTATTCCTCTATTTTTGTGTAAAATTCTGACAGGAGCTGTGGTAGTACTCCTAGGTGGGGGGTTTTAACCGTGGTAGCCACCCACAGAATTCTTGAGTTTGTCGTGACACCAAGCTCAGACGAAGAAGGAGCAGGAGTAGGTGTGGTAGATGCAGTGCAAGATCACGATTATTATAACCTAATTCACGCGAAAGTCATCGTCCTAACTTTCACTCTCTGTGCACCACGCGGCGGAAATCCTCAGGAACGACGACCACCCTGCCACTCCTTTAAGTATCTTTTTAGTATGCCAGGAACACACGTCTTTGCTCATTTGGATAAAAAAAAATTATTGAAAGTAACAGAATGCTATTTTTCCGGATAACATCAACCAACACTTTTTGGCTATTTTTCTATACTCCTGTCTTGACATAGCACGCAAAGGGATCTGCTACTTAATTGGCCTTTTGTTTTCTCTGTCACTAGAACTTATACTTTAAAAATCTGAGATTACTGAGATGCTTTTATTAACAAACTGTGCTCACAAATTATTAAATGTTAATTGGGCTAACTCATGAAATGCCAACCAAAATTCTGAAATGCGCTTTCGTTTCGAAAAGATTAATTAAAAATTAATCGATCTGCAGTATAATTCTATAGTAACTCAGTAACCTCAGGATGCCGGCTTTCGAGAAAACTTCCTTCCAGCTGCATGCGAAATCTATACTCTGTATAAAATGATTTCTTATTAAGCGTGAATGTTTCTTACTGATTTTCGATGCCCCTAAAAGTCCAATTATATTTAATGCAAAACATGCATAAAATATTCATTTTCTGCTCATTCGGTAGAAACGTACGTCTTCTTTCAATTTTATGGTCGAAAAAAAGTATTATTAGGTTTTCAAAAAGTTTTCAAATTCCCGAATAATTTTGAACCCGCTCTGCCGTCACGAACCTAAAGCAACGAGAAGGCCTCATTGTTTGGCGTTTCAAGGGAGGCCCTCTTTGAGGAGCAAAATTCAAGTTCCCAACATCTATTGTAAACATGAAAAACGCATATGGGGCCTATTCCAATTGATCGAAGTCAACATTTCAACTCTCTTCGTAGTCAAACGCACCCCCTGAAGCGTTCAGTGCTGAGATAGACTGTGTGTCTGACAACCAGTGAACCAAGTGCTCGTTGTCCTGTCGGTTGTGCTATGAGTTATCAGATACGGACGTGGAACACTCGTTGAGTAGGGCTTGCAATTACTGTTTTGTATAAGGCTGGCTGATAAGAGCTAATAGCCAACAAATTTTCATCGAAAATATTTAGGTCCAGTGAGCCTTCATCGTGCCAAGCAGTTGTTGTCATATCCATTGTAGACGGAATATTGACCGTGATAAAAGGGGCCGCTTGCCGATTAGGCTATGCAATCTGCCTCTGCCTTCGTATTCTGCGACTCAGCCTACAGTCTTTGCAATCAGTCGCATACCCGCACGCAGTGTATGCCATGAATGGGTTGCCGGCAGAGTCATGGGAGAGCTTTATGGTCATTTCTCGCTAATCAGTCAGATTTTCATAGAAGGTTGTGGAAGGATTTTGACAAACCCTTCACGTTCTCTCTGCACACTGCCCTGGGAAAGAATGTATGGAGCAGTTAGAATTGCTCTCCCTAGGACCACATGCTTGGTTGACTGACGTTCTGTGCACCTACACAATTTCATCATCAAGTACTGAACTCGAAATCGATATGGAGTGGATGTGATATCTCATTAGGCGTTAACCGAAATTCCGAAATTCGGCTTCAATTTGAGAAGCTTACTTAAATAGGGTTGTAACAATAATTATAGTACAGCATAATCCTTAACAATCCATTCTCACAAAATGCGGCCCATGAACAAACTTGTCTACGGCCGCCTTTATAAACCCCAATGAAGAAATAAAAGCTCAAATTGCATAAATCGTTCGCCGACGGTTTTCGATGACATAATAAATTCGAATATATTTTACCGAAAACTTACGCAAAAATATTTGGTTTGCACTTATTTGGAAGCAAAGTACACCTTGAGATTTTGCTTTCGGATAGAGAGCATCTTTCGATTTAAATATGTTGCAATTTTCGAATACTTTTAAACCCGACCTATCACCGCACATATATGTATAAGCTGTATACTTTTCGTGTTTGGATAATTATTTATTTCAGAAGACGAAGATATGATCACTGGAACAAGAAATTTATTGGCCTATTGTTTCGGATTCTCACTCTTTTTGGGCGCGAAGCGCTCCGATCGACTCGACGGTGGGAAACCTGTGCCCTTCGAGAGTCGTCTACATATGCGCAGATTCGATTTCTGCACAAGTGTCTCCACAACAATTTGCTGCCGAAGTGTGCTTCATACAAACCTCCGGTCAACGCAGAGCTGGCGAGACGCGCAGTACTTCAGCACGGCCGACGAATGATCCGAGTGCTCCTTCAAGACTGTCACTCACGGATTTACAAATACCGTCAGAGGATTGATCAAGAGAAAGCAGTTTGCTGCGAGTTCATGGACGAGGGCAGTATAAAACTGCTTCAGCAGAGGCTGGCCGAACGAATCCGCGATCATAAATCAACGCGCGAAGCAGCCTTAGAGAGCAAATTTCGTAAGCTGCCTGCTCCAATGGCATCCAAGAACGACAAACTGGTGCACAACTTGTCGTCAAAGGAGCTGACGGAGGAACAAATGCAGGTTTTACGGCATTCGGCCTCATTCCACACAGCCGATGCCAAACTTGCCAACATGATCGCAGCAGTGGAATCTATCCTCAGCCAGACGGGAGCGACAGACGAAACGAAGAACCTCATTCGACACAATGTGTCCTCTCTCGTCACGGCTCACAGGCCGCGAGAATGCTTTCCGAGGTCGAGCGCGATGATCTTAATGAACTCAGGGCCGACAACGACCTCGTTATCGTGCCTGCGGACAAGGGGTGTAAACGGTCGTGTTGGACAGGACAGACTACAATCACAAAGCCAAAAGCTTGTTGGAGGATCGTCACTCCTATGTCCCATGCGAATCCAACCCCATTAAAAACGCTGACACGAGAGATTAACGCGAAGCTGTTGGCAATGGAGAACTCAGGTGCAATATCACCAGAGACCAAATCCAACCGGTCCTAAATGTTGGCGGGCTCTTCCGTACGTGAAGAACGTCTCGGAAGCCGTCAGTCGTCTTCTCACTCTACTTGAATTTGGGGTTGCATACAGGCCGGAAGCAACCATTAGGCGCCAGGTCATGAAGGTGAAAGACCCGCTGCCACGGCAGGAAACGTCTGGGGTCGTTTACCGGATCTGGTGTAGTTGCGGACAAAGCAACTATGTCGGAGAAACTGAGAGATTTCTCCGTACGCGAATTGCCGAGCACGCAGCAGCAGTGAGGCGGAAAGACAATAGCTCTCAGGTGGCGGCAAACTCGACGGGACCCGGCCATATTTTCATATTTCAAGAGACTGAGATCCTTGTAAGTGGTGACACCCGCGTGAGCCGCGAGCTGCTCGAGTCATGTTTCTCAGTCCCGCAATCCTTCAACTAGCACAATGAGCTCCCGATACCATGTTCCGTGATACGATTTTCCCTGGGCAAGGGAATGTGGGGAGGGCGCGGGCGAGCAATTATCCCAGTGACAGTGAGCCGATTTGCCGAGCAATCGTCACACCAGAATCCAGCACGGATGACGAAATCACGGCCACTTACGACTAGGAATCGGACTGACAAGCCACCGCCGCATCAATTACGACCCCGGCGGTGATTGCGAGAACTGTTAATTACAATGCGCATACGGTCCCAGGGCAGCCACTTTCTATAAATACTGCACTCCTTCTGCCGCCATCACCTTTATCTGCGAATGTCTCTGGTGATGGATTCGAGTGAGAATCCGAAACGGCAGGCCAATAAATTTCTCGTTCAAGTGCTTGCATCTTCGTCTTTCGAACTGCTTCCTGGAACTTGCCTATTCGTTCTATCGGCAAAAATTTATTTCTATTCACTGTTAAAACTATGCCATGCAGGGTTTATAAAACTTTGTAATGGTCGTGGGCCATTTTGTTCATTTTGAATGCATCAAAAATAAACGTCCTAATGCGATGCGCATGGCTGGATATTCCATGGTCTACAAAAACTTTAAAATAAAAACATCCTTAAGACCGGATGATACTCTTCTTTCATACGTAACATTTCAAGATGGCATGGTTTACTCCCAAATGTGCACATAAAACAACAATAATGGGCGTTTCTTCCTTAATTTTTATTCGAATTTGTTAGAGCCTTAAAAATTCATGCGCAAATTTATACTTATTAGATCGTTATTTTGACTGGCGGTAGGCGATGCGAACAGCCAGAAAGAAGATCGTTCAAAAGCTGGCATCCTGACATGACGGAAATAACTTTGGGATTAAGCTGCACGAAAGTTAATGTCATAATCATACTTAAGTAGACCTTTCAAAATCGACACACATTTCAATATTCCGCCTAAAATTTTATGAGACATATGCATATGAATATATTCACACACGCAAATGAAATTGCGAGGATTTTTAAAGATTATTTCAGTTCTTTCTATTTTTAGTGGGATTGAGCGAAGTGGTCCAAACGAACACCGAACTGATTCTCCTCGTTCCAGACCAATATCAGTCATTCGAGTCAGATGAAAAACCGACGATTTTCCGTCCAGTGGCAGTATGTTAATGAAGTTTTGCATAATACACCGTGCTCAATATTTGCTTGACCGATCATGGCACCTAGAAATTTCCAACTTTTGTAAAAAACATCCCAGAAATGGGTTTTTGTTGAGCTGAACATTATTTCGAGTTATTTTATTTCCTACGTAAGTTCCAAATTTTGGATGGCTGTAAAAGTCATTCTACCGATGAGCTATCACACCCACTGTTCTAATGACCTCACAACATCGTCTTTGCAATAAGCACCTAGAACCAGCCTGTTTGCCTCCAATTACAAGGCTATCCTAGTTTCAGTTATTATTATTTGATGGAAAACGCCGTAGATTCCATCTGCGTGTATGAAAATGCTTCCCATGTAAAGAGGCTTCAAATAGACGAGAAATGGTGATTATAACAGTCGCGAAAACTAGGGTTTAAAGCCCGATGTGAATGAGAGGGATACTTTCAAAAAATCGCAAGTCCACATTTTATAATAAACTTTTGGATTGTGATTCAGTGCAATGGAGTAGTACCACATGCAAAAAGTTTCAAATATTTCATAAGTAACCGCTAAAATGCCCTTCCTTAGACAAAGTGTTCATTTATTCGTATTAAAAAGGACTATTCTTGTGTCAAAACGGATAGAGAATCAGTCGAGTTAGGAATATTTTGATACGAAAATGACTCGCCCCTAACATGTTTACAATCCCGGGACGTATATTCAAGGCGGGCAAATGTAACGAATGTGCTAATAAAAATATTAGAGGCAGTTATTTCGTCAACGGCGGTGAACTGATAAATATTTATCATGCAAGTGCATAACGGACGACCGAAAGTCTTAAAATTAATATGATTTCTCGTTCGAAGTGGATAAGAAATATGGGCTCTCATCGTTGAAATACGCCTGTATAGCTCATTTCCAAAACTGGCTTTTAGCTCATTGTGCAACTGAAGGCTTTCAGGGATAGCCTTAATAAAAAGGCTGTCAGAATCACAAAACTAAATAACTTATCATTTTGGGTAATCGAGTTAGCACGTCGAAAGCTGCAAAATGTTCGCTAACCCCAAAAAGGTCTCTGGAAACTCAACGAAGCCCTTTCGTAGTGAATAAGCACGCAAAAATTTCATGGAAGAAAGATTTTTTCGTGCACAATACATGAAGCGTGTGGTCTTGTCGGTTAATTAAATCAAAATTCTCATTCACCAGTTAGCTGCTCATGGAGTGTTCATGTGACGACTTCTCCTGATGTGACGTATGTGCAAACGACAGCAAAAAAACGCACCCTGCGATTAAAAACCTCGTTTGGAGTAGCGCTGAGCAAAATTCTTTCCGCGAGCGTTTCTAACCGTTTTCAAATACATATCCAGGGATTAAGCATTTGAATACTGCACCAATTGTTCGGAGAATGCCAATTTAGAGGAATTCCTTCAACTATCATCTTAAACCCTACTGTGCTTATGCTGCTTTGTACTTTTAATTATTTGTGGGAGATGTGCAATGTACCAGCACAAGTTCAGTGTACCCATCTGGCGTCAGTAATAAGGCTTTTAGGCTTTCTGATTTTCCGCGTCTTCTTTTCTTGTTTTTAATGATTGTGGTATTTATATTAACGCCTGCTGAGTGTTACAATCTGCGCGAAGATCCTGCATTTTTAATCTTTTTTCTTGGCTAAAGCAGTTAGACTTATTTTTGAGATTCTGATGATTTGTTTTGCGAAATTCGACAATTTAAGGGATTGGCTTAGAATCTAAATTTCAGGATGTGCTCCAAATGGTGTCTTTTCTTCTGCAAATATATATATTGGATTTGACGTGGATACTGTCAACTTGTACGTTGATAATCTACTGCATCTGTGTCCCTACAAGCATACTTTTAAACGATTTTGTCGAGAATTGTTATATATCGAGGGATGTGCACCACAGAATGAAGACGGGTGGCACAATAATTTCTTTATCCGACTAACCTGCGTATACGGGTCAGTAAATTCGATAAAACGTTTATACAACATTTAGTGTCATAGCTTGCTTTTCGTAGATTGACTGTTCTTTGTGTGAGAACACCTCGGAAGAGGAATCTCGAATGTTCCGCCGGCCATTCATTGGACCGCAGGCGTGAGCGATGGTCTCATGTCTGCCGGATGCTGTAGTGTACGCTGATTGGCTATCAAACTGACGGCGTGCTTTCACAATCTGCCCGACCTACGGACAGTGTTCAGACAACTACTCCTTTTGCCCAAGGCCGTGACGCATTCTCCATTTTATTCAAGGTCATGAAATGTTTCTTTGTCCGTAGCGCTCGTCTGACGGCAAGTGACGTTGAATGTATGTCCACCTTGGCAGTCGGCAACTTAAAGGTATCACATAGTAAGAGTGCTGGAGAGCAGTCTAAGGTTAAGATTTGCTAGGTTGGCTTGCGGGCCTTTTGGTGGTTTCACTCATAATTTCCGTCCCAAACACCACCCCTCTGGGCTTCCTGTATATACTATTAACTCACGGCCCCTCGCAAGGTTTCTAATTACTGAAAAATTAGTGCCATAGCGTTTGGTTAACTCAGACAGGTAACGATGTAGTGTAGGACCCCCAAGTAGATGCTAACTCCAAAAATTGGTGTGACTGTAGTCACCACATATTATTCACCGTTCCCATTGTTTGGAATTTCCTTTCCTTCCTGATTAAGTATAAACTTACCAGCGACACATTCTTCAAAGTCCATTATTTTTCCAAAATTACTTTTTGTTTACTTAATAATAATCGAGTACACTATCTTTGCAGATGACAGCGCTAAATAAGAATTTCGGCACAAATATTTATTTTCTGTGTCTTCTTATCCCCCCTCCTTCTGTGTACTTCCCCATTCGTAAAGGCGACTCTACCAGCACTCAACCTATGACACGGTTCACAGGCTAGCTCAGGTTAGTCTCGGGCCTTACACTCTACCATTGCCACTTAACTTTTACAATGGGAACCTTCTTAGTAGTCAGACTGATAAGAAACATATGTAACACACCAACCGTTTTGCCAACTGGTTTGCAAAATTTACAATCACGGGCCTCGCTCAGACGAATGAACGATCTGTTGCATAACTTACAATTATAATTATAGGAGATTATTAAATTAGACTTCATAGGGAAATGTTTATAGTGGAAGCCTTACAAATCCAAAACCTATAAATTATGATGAACGTCACTTTATCGTAAAAAATTACATCCGCAAACCACACAGGCTATGGCAATGGATTATAATGCGAATATGTGTTGAGAAAAATATTTATTACATATACTTCCCACAGCCTCTCATTGGTTTTACACTCCTGTGATATATTGACGCTAACGTACTCACAACTGAAAGAAGTCCTTTCTCTGTGCAGTGATTTACGCAAGTCGTTCTAAACGCGTTGACAAATGATTCGCCTTTCTTAACGAGTTGCTCAGCCACCTGATTTAAAAGTAGTTTTCTGTTGAAAAAGTTTCAGAAGATTGAATGTCAAGTTCCAGTTTACTTCAAAACTAATTATGGATAACGTGTCCAAGCTCTGCGGTTAAGAAGGGGACGTAAGACAACTTAGTCGGCTCACACTCGCGTGACTTTTCCAATTCTTCATTGAAGGTACCGCAACATGCCTTGCGGTTAAGAAGGGGACGTAAGACAACTTAGTCGGCTCACACTCGCGAGACTTTTCCAATTCTTCATTGAAGGTACCGCAACATGCCTTCTTAAGAAGTAAATCCAATGAACATGCTAATCTGTTCTTCGAATTCGTTGCACTTTTGATTTAGGAAAAGACGTTTCCACCGTATTATCAAATATTAATTCAACTTGCTCGTCTGTAGGGCATCATTGTGGACACGGCCAGTTGATCCTCTCCTTGAACTCACACCCGCGATCAGCAGAAACGTATAATCATCCATCAGTTAAATCAGTAGTATGGTGGGATACCTCCAAATGCAGGTTAGTAACACCAAAAGAATATTTGCGGTTATGTAGGGATAAATAACTCAGCATTTCAGTAACTAGACCACATTTACAAATAACATAAATGATGCATGAAAATAATTGGCCCAATTCGATATCACTTTTAACATCAGCACACTGAATAAGGGCGGTATCTGTCCATCCGCTGTTTTTAAATTTTATTTCTTTACAGTTTTATTATCATCGTCCTCTTCTAGATTTGTATTCTTTATTATTGACTGGATTACCTGTAATCTCCCTCATTTTGTAATGCATTAATAAGCGGCTCGACCATGGTTTTGAGGACAGTGCTCGCTTGTGCGCTCCTCGCGTGGCTACTTGCTTCTCTAGGCGAAGTCGCAGCACGGAATATGAAAGAGGGAGGTCGTTGCACTTGTTAATAGACTGGGGGCCGATAAACCATGACTTAAACAGCTCGCAGCTCACGCGGTTGTCACCTCTAGCAAAAATGTCGGCCTCGTCGAATTTGAATGTGTGGCCGAATCTCGTTGAATGAGCCGCAACCTGAGAACTGGCGTCATTTCTCCGCACTGTTGCCGCGCGTTCGATCATTCGCGTTCGGAGCAGTATTCCGGTCTCTCCGACGTAGTTGCTTTGTCCGCAGCTGCACCAGATCCGATAAATGACTTCAGACGTTTTTGCTGTGACAGCGGGCCTTTCGGTTTTACTATATGACGCCTGATGGTTGCCTCCGGTCTGTGCGTAACTCCAAACCCAAGTGGTGGGAGAAGACGGCGGACAGCTCACGAAACGTTCTTGACATATGAAACCGCTTGCCAAAATTTGAGGTCCGTGGGGATTGGCCTTTCGTCCTTATTGTGTATGCACTGGTTGTCGAAATTGTGCGGTAGCCATTAGCTTTGAATTCTCATCGAAGATATAGTAGTTCCGCAATCGGTAAGTTATGGCTACGTAAGCCCACCAGATGGAAAGCATATTGTTGGGGTTGGGGTTTGAGGTTAGGGCTAGGTGTTAAGGTAAGTATTAGGGGTTAGTGTTAGGGGTTTGAGTTAGGGATTAGGGTTGACGATTAGAGTTATGGTTCACGCGTTGGGGAAATTATTCTCAACCATTCAAATTACAAACGTGCATTCCCAGTAGAAATCATTTTGCATAAATCTACTTGACCTCGTGTCCTGTGCGTTCCCAAGCTCCACGTGCAAAATGCCCTGTTATTATCAATCCCGTATCACAGGTGGTTGGGTTTTCTTTTCTTCAGATGAGGCTACATAGCCACATCTAACCCGCCAGTCTTGTCCTCCGGCTCGCTGCCGTGGGTTTCAAAAGGCCGATAGAACGTCCTTAAACAACTGCGTTTGCTGCTGATATTTGTGTTTTCTTTTGGAGTTCTGTACCCGCGTCATACTTGTCGATATACTGAGCACTTTTGTCTTTTGGCCACCACAATCTTTGCGGCATACGATGACATCCAGGAAGAATGTGGGCGTGTTCAAGAAAAATCTCCGTTTCATCGTATTTGCTTTGTAGAAGCAGCTAGATTGCCTCGATCGTCAGATTCTAGGGAATGGAAATGGAACGCGACATAACATCAAATTATACCATGACCTCATTTCTATGGAGACTCAGTCCTTTGAGCCACTCCGGTACATGTGCTGACGAGGAAACCGTGGCGTATGATTCAGCGTTCACGAAGTCAAGACGCCGGAACAGCCACTTTGCCGATCCATGCACTGGAGTGCGTTTGAGTGACACGATAGGTCGGAGAAAAACGCCCTTTTTGTACATCTCAGGGAGACCATAAAATCGGGCCAAAGCCGTGTCTTGTGGTCTTGCCAAGCGTTTGTCGCCGCCCTACGCAGCTGCGAGGGAGTCGGCTCACCAGTGGGTCACCCGGCGTTATGTGAGTTTTCTCGTATATGAAGTGCTGATTAATCTTGCCTTGCTCAATTTTTCACGAAAGTAATTCGTGGCCTTGCATTAAATTCGGTCGGATGAGTTTATGTAAACAAAATCCACTCACTTCTAGTACCTGACAGGTGGTAATAAGTGATTTACAGGTGGGGCCGGTAACACAAAGTCCATGAGGTCGAGTAATTGTATGCAAAAAAAGTTAAGAATGAGCAGTTGTACTTTGAATGGTTGATAAATAGTTGCGCTAACCCCTAACCATATTCCTAACCCCCTAACTACAACCCCCAATCCTAAGTCCTAACCCACTAAACCCAACTTTTAACCCTAAGTCTAGCCCTTTAACATAGCACCTAACCCTACTCTATAACCCTTATATTTATCCCCAACCCCAACAGTATTATATTGACAAGTTAGGGTTACCAGACAACAACTTACCGTTAATTGTTTTGGACAGACCATTTCAGGTCTGGTTAACGGCAAATCCCATTTGAGACAGGAGAGCGCTGCAGATGACGTATGAATGTAGATGACTTACGACTTTCCCATAGGTATGATTTGAAGAGATCAGAAGTGAACTTGTAGAATTCTTGCTAGGCCCACTTGCGTATACTAGAGTCTGTGACCGATCACGTTTTATGTTGACAGAATTTCCAAAATGTTTTCTTTATGTGGCGAATTATTACATAGCGTGGACTGAAATACTGATTGCTAATTATCACGTAAAAAAATTCAAAAGAAACAATTATCACAAGGGGAAGAGTGATTAGCTGTACCATGACTATGCCAAGTGCTGTAGTCTCCGCAGGCGACATTTTTTTTCTCATGCTGTTTCGGTAGACTATTGACATAAAATTTGCATGGCAGAGATTTCTCCATTCCACAGTCAATAATTTGAGTGAAAATAACAGAAATGACTATATAAAAAGGAGCATGATTTGATTGACAGACTGGTGGATAATTTTATGTGAGACAGTGTTCCGGCATTTTTTAAAATAACAGACGAATTTTATTGACATCATACGCCAAAATGGCGTTGTGCGCAGTGTTCAGAATCTGGCGCCAGAAAATAGGCAACTGCAACCGAAATATTTTCTCGACTGTTTATTCCTACTGAAGTGTAAAACTAGCTTATGTTATTTAAACTAATGGACAGCGTCTTTGCGGACTAAGGGATGCCTTACAAGGACATCGACAGACTTCGGGACGCCGGGAATTTCATGTGATACTTATGACTCTGAGAATGCAGTTGACAGTCGGTAAATGGCTTTAGATATACCATTTGCCAATATGCAGTACTCAGAGCCCCAATTACTTACAGGGTTCTCATGACCAACATAAGTGACAGACGACACCTGCGGTGACGATCTAGCCATAAACTACGTTGCCATCACGAAACGCTACACAGTTGCAAATCTGTAGGGCTCTGAGTATTCCCAGGTACCAAATAAGCAGCCCAAGTACTCGCCGAAAGCTCAGACACGCGTGTTTCGCCGATATTCTGCCGCCGCATTTCATAACTGTGAGTAGTCCGGCTTTGCATGGCGAGTTTGCATTCTTCATCAGCCTCGCACTTCTGGAGCGCTGATTCGAAAAAATGCACTGAAGTCTTGTGGTCGAGCATCTCTCGTGCTGAACTATGTGTCATAGGAAAATGCGCTAGCTGCTGTTGTGTGAGACGATGGGAGGACATCCACTTACTTTTATTACTGGGTTTAAAGAGGAGTAGGGAACTTTTGCCAATTAGTCACAGGGGAGAATGCTTCTCCGCATGTTTTCTATAAAGCATATTTGAATTCTGAAAGGAACCGAAAATCAACATGAAGAATTATAGTATATAAGTAAGCACCATTTTGCTGCGTGTGGTTTTAAAAGTACATGCAAAAGCAAACATCTCGCCGTCTATCATACTTTCACTCTAAATGAACAATCTTGTCTAAAAAAAATTCAGGATTTTAGTTTTTATTGCCCATTTATTCCACCTTATTCGAATTGCTGGAGAACTCTCCTGTGATTTTTTACCTTTTTATTTTGACTAGAAGACCGCGGCGGTTAAAGATGAAGTGTCGATCGGGATGCATTTTCTGCACATTCATCCCATTCTTCGAATGTCAAACGTTGCGCAATACTGAGGTTCAGAATTACAAAGTGCCACAAGAGGAGGGGTTAGTAGATGTACCCTGCCCACCCCAAGTGCTGTGGTTTCTGTAGGCAAATTTTATTCTCGTGTAGAGAGAGTAGACATAAATTTTGCATGACAGAAATTTTTAAATACAACGAAGCATACTTTGAGTGGGAAACTGGTAGATTTTATTAAGTTAAACAGTGCCGCGATAATTTTTAAAAATGTCAAGCGGCATATTTTAATAGCACACACGTCAGAAGTCAATGAAAACAGAGTTAGAAATCTAGCAAACGAAGTTTTGAAGTGTGCATTTATTTACCGTACTATCAACGCAGGTAGTAGCGAAAAGCCCAGACACGCGTGTTTCGCCGATCTAATGTCGCTGCCTGACGCAGATGCGAGCGGTTCGGTTCGTCAGTAGGTCCCCCAGCCTTCCTCGTCTGATTTTTGGTATATGACCTCCAGTTTCACATTGCCTTGTTTAATTTCCAAAGAATTAGTGCGCGAACTCGGAGTAAATCTTTCAAAACGGGCCTTCTCAGGCACGGTCCGAATTTTTTGATATGCATATTTGACCTGAAATCCATCAGGGGCTGCGGAATAACCGCTCAATATTCACAAACCGCCAAGTGGCAGCAAGTAGTATAAACATGTGCAATGATGTACCGTACTAACAACACAGGAAACAGCTAAAGCCTTGACGAGCCGCACCCCTCGCAGCTGCGTCAGGCATCGGCATAAGGTGACATGCCATTAGGCCGGTCGATGCCTAAAAAATATAAATAGAACTGACAGGCGTGATCGTAAGCATATCAGTTTGTGTTTACAGAAAAAAAACTTGTCTTCCGTTGAATTAATTTACACTTCTATTTCGTTTTAGATCACGCTGAGTTTCAGTTCGGCCTCGAAATGTTGCTGTATACTTCATGATTTTCAGTGTGTCCACCCAATCTTCAATAAAGGCAGATTCTGAATTACCTGTAAGTTGAGAACTATAAATAGGACTATTCTTGAAGGCATTTATTAGCGAATAAGCGAGGTTTTGGGCGCTCCTTTTCTCGCAAATGGTCGTTTGGATCACATGCGAGGACTGATTCAAACATCGAACTTCATTTTCCAAAAAAATGTCTGTCTACAGCGAAAGTCAACAACGTATATGTTTTTGATAAATAAAAAAACTTTACTTAATAATTTACCTCATTAAGAAGTGCTTTCTAACTGCATTCCATTGACGGATCTCTGTATAGATTGCATTTTTGTACGGTGAGGCCTTGTAAAAATTTGACACTTTTGGCCGTTTCTTTCGCTTTCCTGAGAAATGCTGATATATTTTTACCGTCAACGTAAGAACATGCCTTTTCGCATATATTAAGGCTAAATCCACTGATTTTGCTCGCTTTTGGACTCCGTTCTTCCAAAATGAATGCACAGCAGAGTGGCCATATTAATACTGATATTTTGCTGAAACTATAAATGTTTTGCTCGTTCTATTTTTAAAAAGATATGCAAAGAAAGTGAACTAGACGGCAATAAGTGGTTCATATGTTTCAACCTGGAAATAGCCATTCCGTGGCGGTCATTTATGTGACATCAGATAGAAGTTTTCAAACTCAGAAATATATAAGCCCACTTAAACAACGGAAGCTCTATCCGCGTTATTACTGCAATTCATGGCACCAAATCGCACAGATCGGCCAATTTGACATTTAGAAATTGAAAAAATCTCTAGCTTTCTTAAAATAACCCTTGTGTTAGCAGGTTGGTCATCATGGTTTACATCGGGCATGCAATAAATTTTCATGATCGGCTACATCTGATTATTAAAACTCTCGCGGATAAAATTAATACACTTTCAATGAAGAAGTTGCTCAGATGCGTAACCGGAGTCTAGGACATGTATTTGCATAGGAAATTGCACGAATATAAATTAAC